TCCAAAGGACTAATGAACCACAACTACCACGGCCTCCACCCAATTGAGTCCAGCACAACTAGATGGTGACCACCTACCACCACTGACAGCTCTGACAGGGATCCACAACAGAGGGTCCCACACAGAGCTGGAGAAAACTGTAGAACAAAATTCTAACTCATGGAAAAAGACCAGATTTACTGGCCTGACAAAGACTGGAGAAACCCTGAGGATATGGCCCCCGGAAACTCTTCTGGCTCAGTAATGAAGTCACTCCAGAGGTTCACCCTTCAGCCAAAGATTAGACAGGCCCATAAAACAAAATGAGACTAACAGGGCACAACAGGCCAGGGACAAGGACTAGAAGGCAGGAGGGGACAGGAAAGCTGGTAATAGGGAACCCAAGGTCAAGAAGGGAGAATGTTGACATGTCATGGGGCTGTTAACCAATGTCATAAAACAATATGTGTACTATTTAATGAGAAACTATTTGTTCTATAAACCTTCATCTGAAGTACAATTAAAAAAAAAAAGAAACCAATAGAAAAAATCAATTAAATAAAAAGCTCTTAAAAAAAAAAAGTTGGCATTGTTCAAATAGCTTTTACCTTCTGGAAAGGCATTATAATCGTTCAACTCCAATGGACAGTACACATTAGGAAACTGGCCTTCGCAAGTTGTGCTCCAATCAATGAAACTGCTATAAAAAACAAGAGGTCTAGTTTCAGAAACAAAACGTCAAGACAGCAAGCAAGGAAGAGGAAAACAATTTTTAAAGGCTATAGAAATTGGAGGAATTATCACGTTTTAAGAGTCTGTTCTCTTTCCTAATGTTTGAATCATTATGTATTTCCACACTACCTTGCCCAGCATCCTAATCATTGCTAATTCCTCAATTCTGGAAAATAAAAGATGTATATTCTCAAGGTACCGAACTGAAGACTTACTAACTAAACACCAATGACCAGTGACACACACTCTGCAGGACAAATAGCTCAGGCTGGGAGCACACCTTGTTTAGAACCAGGGCTTCGAACCAGTCGGTTTCTGGTTTGACCTCCTGCTGAGAATGTATGAATCACCTGGGGATCTTGTTAAAATGTAGAGTCTGATTCAGTATATCTGGGGTGGAAATGCAGGTTCTTAGCAGAAGGTCAAACCAAAACAAGCTGGTTCGAAGTCTTGTTTAGAACCATGTCTGTTAAGCTTAATAGAGACAGAATCCAAAGCCTTGGTTTTATCAGCACTGTGGAAGAACACCTGGACTACCTTTCAGGTGTCACAGCACACACCTGAAGGATTTTTTAAAATGTTCTGCTATTGAAATTTCCATCTTTCACTCAGAGCAAAGTCAGCATTCATCTTAGGTAAATCACAGCTATAAAGATTATATGCTTCATGATGAAACCTTGATCGTTATTGCAAACTGGATTCTCATTATGGAAAAGTACAAGTAACAAAGTAAATACTGTTAAAATAAACTGAACCAAAAGAAAAAAGTCAAATGGATTCTGTGATTAAACAAAGATATTAACATTTGCTCAGGTGTCTCTATTTGACCGACATATTAATATCAAATAATGAATTTAAGAAATTGTCACTATGTAACTATTTTTCAATACTTGAACTATTTGATCTTTTAAAAGTATTTTGAAAATTCATACCATGGGAAAATGCTACTGTTATGGAAGTGGGAATTATGAGTGACTTTTTTTTTCAAATTTGCCTCTGACATTAATTTATCATCTTTTCAATTAAAAAAAGGAAAATAATGACATGGTCTCCAGCTGTTATTACTTTTATTTTCCTTTAATGTTTCTTTCAATGCCCAGTTTGTTATTTTCTAAAAAAATCACAATGCAATTCCAAAAGGCAGAGAAAAGCACAGCTGAAGTACACTGAGGTAAGGAAGCTCGGTCCTAACTCTTGTAAGGACTACCTAACAAACAAGAGTTCAAATTCTGACCACAAGCCTTTAGGCTAAGCAAGGCGCACGTAAGAGATGTGAAGCTGTACCTATTATGAACGGGGGGAGGCTCCTGCAGCACACAAGGCACGCTGCTCTCGAGATTGCAGTTTAAGCTGCTTGTCAGACACACTGGCTGGGTGGGCCACAGGTCTCCAGGTGGGCAAAGACCTACGGAAGAGAACAAGGTCTCTCAGTACACCTCCTGCCCAACTCAGCCCTCATTCTACCCTTCCTGGAAGGCCCAACTCAAGTGCTTCTCCCTCCAGAAAATACTCCCTGATGTTACTCACACACCGAAGTCTTCTGCCTTCCCTGACCTCTTTCGGGATGTTATTTCAGCATATAACGCTGAAGTATAGCATACTGCTTTGACCTTTATTTCAGATGGTGTACAACTCGTCTCCTGACCCAAATTATAAAGTCGGTTCACCCAACAAATATTTGAGGGTTACTTTATGCAAGAGGAGCCCTAATGGCACAGTGGTTAACAGCCTGGCTGCTAACCGAAAGGGCATCAGTTCGAATCCACCAGCCACTCCTTGGGAACACTATGGGACAGTTCTACTCTGTCCTATAGGGTCACTATTGACTCGATGGCATCGGGTTTGGTTCAATTTTTTGGTTTTATGCAAGAAGGTACCACTACAGATACCAAGAATACAGCAGTAAACAACTTTACATTCAAATGAGCAGAAACAAAACAACAAAGAAAATAAGAAGTATATATAGTGTACCAGATGGTAAGTGCTATGATGACACAGAGCAACTTTAAAAAGGGCAGTCAAAGGCCTCACTGAGGTAACATTTGGTTAAAGATGTGAATGAGGTGAGGAAGTGAGCCTAGAGGGTGCCAGCAAAGAGTGTTCCAGGCCATGGGGACCTACTGCAAAGGCACCAGAGTGGGGCAGGGAAAGGGTAGTAAGACAGAGGTCACAGAGCTGACTGGGCCACTTGAAGGAATCTGGCATTTACTTTCAGACGGGAAACCACTGAAAGGTTTTGAGCAGAGTGACTGCTAGGAGACAAGTCTCCACAGGTTTCTCATGTTTCTGTACATCTTGCAGGCAGAGGCACTGACTCTTTTGTTCTGAACTGTCTTTTCAACGATGTTTACTAAGCAAAAGCCTTGGAAAATACAGTGTCTCCCTTTGGAGCAAACGGCAGACATGCTTACTGCTCGTTCTAAAAGACGTGAGTTCCCTGAGCCTAGGGTTCCCCTCCTGTAATGCAACCCAGGCATCTACCTAGGTATATCTACCCTGTTCCACCTGCCCCCGTGACACTTGGAGGCAAGAGAAATTGAGGAAATATGCTGATGCTCATGCTGCTGAATCAACCCCAGCCATGTCTCAGCTTTATGTGGAAAAGTGACAGCTAACCCTCTGGGGAAACTTCATCCTCCACTCTGCCACCTGAAGCAGAGCTGCCGGCTCAGTGGAGCCCTCAATTCACTGAGAATTCCACTCAACACCTAGGTCTGGTTCACTGATGGTTTGGCTAAGCTAAAACCTAATGGTGTCCACTGGGCTGCTACAGCTGTCCACCCTCAGTGCCAGCTATGTAAAACTAAGAATGGATGTGCTCACTCTGCTCAGTGGGCAGAACTCAAGACTGTTCTGGTCATTTCTCCCTATGATGAACCTCGTTATGCTTTTACTAACTCTTGGGTTGTTGCCAATGGCCTAGATGTTTGGTCTGACACTTGGAAAACCACAGTCTGGCAAATTAAAGACACTTCCCTTTGGGGCTGTGAAATGTGGAAACAAAGCTTGGCTTCTGATTAAACCTGAGTCACTTAGATAAAGGTCCCTCGTAAAGGCCCTTTCTTTGATAAGAACAGCTGGAATTCAGCTGCTGATCGAGTTTGCATCACCCAGATTGCCACCACTGCTGTCTGGACTCATCATTGGACTGGACATTACAGTTCCAGCATCACAGACAAGAGCATAAAGGACTGTAGGTTTCTGATGCAAAGGCTACTACTGCCTGCCAGACTTGTGACTCCTGCCAAAAGTGGATCTGGCTGTCTCGAGGTGGGGCAGGCCACATCACACAGGACATTGCTACTGACCAGTTCTGGCATATTGACTACATTGGACCTTTAACTCCCTCTCCAGGCTACCAGTGGTGCCTCACTGCAGATAACATATTTTAAGGTTGCAACGTCTCTGTTCTAGCCCAACAAGCCAACTCAGGCCACACCACTGTGGCCCTTGAAAATAATCCGTATCATGTTTTCTTGTTTTACTTTCCAGACCAAAAGACTCAACAGTGGGTTAACAGTCAAGTTATTTGGTGGATCTGTCACACTCCCTACAATTCACAGGCAACTGGTATTGCTAAGAATTAGAAGAGCCTCCTCAAAAATTAACTCTAAAAATTTCTGATTCTACCTCTTCTGGTCCACACACCTTCGTAAGGCAGTTTGGTCACTGAATCCCATCCTCAGAAAGGGATGTTTTCCTCTCAGTTGCTTTCTGGGTAATGATCGGGACCAAAGGGAGGGGAGGGAGGGAAGGGGGAGATGGGAAGGAGAGAGGGGGAAGGGGGGAGAGAGGAACAGAGTGGGAGAGAGGGCGAGAGGAACAGATGGGAGAGAGGGCGATGGGGGAGAAAGGAACAGAGGGGGAGAGAGAGGGAGAGAGGGAGAGTATGAGTTTGAGTGTGTGTGTGGGAGTGTGTGTGTGACTGTGTGTGTGTGTGTGTGTGTGAGTGTGTGTGTGTGTCTGTGTGTGTGTGTGTGTGTGTGTGTGTCCGGGGAAGAGGCTATGCATCCCTATTCAGAATTCCACCCTGACTATTCTGAGAGACATGATGCTTGTTTCTTGCCCCTAACAGTAATCCCAGGTCAACCTTGATTGAGATACACTTTGGGTGTCAGCACAGCCAAGGAGGCCAGGTGGATTCAGACTTAATTCTGGGTCAGCTGCCTGGATTCTCTTGTTGGTTTAATATGTTCATAGATCATAAGGAGAATGACCACTTGGATGAGTACACTGCTTGCTGAGTCACCCTACAGTGGCCACACTGCCTAAAGTAGGGGGACATAATGGGTCTCTGTTTAAGTTTTATAAAAAGACACTCATCCCTCTTCTATCTGACCCTTTCAGATGAAAGGTCTAAGTAGGGTTTGACTGGAAAAAGGGTGAAGTGACAGCTACTAGAATAAGATACAAGGATTTTGTGGCAGTAGACAGGGAATGACAACCTTAGCACCTGAGGAGGGACATCTTAGACCCCAGGTTATAGGGGAGGGAGTGACATTAATGATCTTGGTTTTTCAGAATTGTCCTTAGAGCCTTCCTCGCAAAGGAAAATGTCCTGATATGGTTCTCCCAAACTATTTGAGCACCTTATATTTAACTGGCTGCTGCACCTGCCATCCACACCCCTACACAGTTCTGAACACAATCTGATCACCATCCCCCTGAACTTTCCCAGGGAATGGCCTTGTTCCTGCATCTCCCACACAAAACACCTGCCAACACCTCTGAATGTCTTCCCACCTTGATTCTGATAGCCATCACTCAGCCATCTGTGGGAGGGATGGATGCCCTCTAACTAGTGGTGTGGAGAAACAGGACAGGTCAGACCCTCACTCAGGCAGTCCCTCCAAAAACAAAGACTAGACTCAATTATTCAAACTGAATTGGAAATTTTAAGGTTTACCAGCCAGTCAGGCCACACTGGAGTATCCTCTGCCTTAGGCAAGTCCCACTTGGGGGAGTCCAACAACTGTAAACAACACTTCCTTTCAGGATATCACATGTGCTCCCAGAACTGTAAATAATGCTGTTAACTTACCTCCTTCCTGAAAAGACAGAGACTTGCACCTTAGTGGTGGTAATAAGAGAGCTTCAAATATTTAAGGAAACATGTAGCCTTATAGGCTTCATGTGACTGTGGTGATCTTTCCAAAATGAATCTACCCTTGGTTACTCGGGTTTGCTTCCCACAGAGAGAGATAATTTGTTATTTATGCACATTTTGCAGGCAATTATCCCTATGATAGGATTCATCCAATTAGAATGCCTGCAAGGCATTCAGGTCAACCTCAACACACAGGCCAGGCTTGTTATGGATGAGAGAATTGCCCTAGACTTTTCCTTTGTGGGCCAAGGTGGAATCGCTATGCAATCATTAATACATCCTACTATACCTGGATTAATAGCTCTGGCCAAACAGAAAGACCCATACAGAAACTTAAGAAGAAAGTCACCTGGCTTTCTAAAATAGATCCTGAGGATTATATGATTTGTTCAGCTGGTTTAGTCTAAGACTCTATGGGGCATGGTTGAGATAAATACTGCAGGGTGGCCTCATCTTGCTAGTTGGAGTCCCATTGATAGGTACTTTATTAAATGCTGTCTGAGCCAAATTGAACATATGTGGTCCCAACCCTGTTGGTCAGATTAATCAAGCATCTATCACTGAGTGATTTATGAGAAAATCTACCATCAGCCAAGGCTATGTAGAAACAAGGGGTATATACTGCTGTGAGACAATTCTCTATGGGTTGCTTACATTTCTGAACTTCTTACAAGCAAAAATTCTGACTGACTTCGTTCTGATCTATTTTTCCAAGGATGATTATTAAGTAAAATCTCAGAAGACAGAAACAGTGTCACCCTCTGGAGCAAAGGGCAAGTCTGGTTAATGTCTAGCATTATAAAGGTCATGTCTTCTGCCCATTAAAAAACACCTGGATTCCCTACACTCGGGGTTCCTTTCCTATAGTACAACCCCCTGCATGTGTAAGCAGCCACCTAGGCCCACTTGTATTGCCCCATGGGACTGGGGGCAAAGGGAATTGACACAAACACACTGATGCTGCTTATTGTGCTAAAAGTTCTTTGTCTCTGACGCAGGAGTCTCTTGTCTTCTGCCAGCATCTACAAAATTGTGGCAGGCTAATTTGTTAGCTTACAAATATGGTAAAATCTCAGACCCTTCACAGTTTTTGATAGTAACATGATTTGGCATGATTTATCATGAACACTCTGGGTGTTGTGTTAAAAAAAGATTGTAAGGTGGGGTGACAGCAGAAGAGGGAGACCAGATCTGTTAGGAAGTTACCGTGATAATCCAAGCAAGAGATAATGATGGCTTAGATCGGGGTAATTTTGGAGGAGGTGGTGAGAAGTGATCAGACTCTGGATATATTTGAA